TTTTTTTTAGTTATCTTCTAACTAATCCAGAATTTGTAGGATTACAAGACCTTTGTGAACTTGCGCAAAAGTTGGTTGTGACAAAAAAAATGAAGTATACCGTTATTATACAAGTTTTTGACATTGACATTAATTTCTCGAACACTTGTAATAAGATATGATTTTGCTAAATTAAAGATTATTACTTTCTTTTATACGTTTCTTGATTTTTTTTGTTAAATCTTCGTACATTAATTTATGTTCCGTTGTTTTTTTTCTGTATCACAAAGTATCAACTTTCCTCATTTTAACACATAATGTTTCACAAAAAAATTTCGGGGGGCAGCCCGTGAGCCCCCACTCCTTCAATTTCGGGACCCCCCTATTTCAACGAGTTGGCTCCGCCCCTAGTTCCAACATTCCCAAACTATTAGTTTATAATTGTGGGTTTTCAATAATTCAAGGCTCGTTGAAATTCATAAATTTTGCCCCCAGGGGATTTTGCTAAAAATCAAAATTTTAAGTAAATTTTAATAAAAAAATAAAATATGTTATTGAAAAGTTAATAAACCCGTCAGTTTCCAATTTTCAACCACTTTTGATTGCTTTTCATACCGTTAGAATGACCAGGTAGAATTCTTAGCCGAATTCTATCTCTATATGGGACCCCACTTGTTGGGAAAAACTGTCCTAAATCAGTTTTTTTGGATTAAAAAAGCTTTTTCAGACAAAACCTAAAATTTGTGGAATCTATGAAATGTGCGAATGAAAATAAATTTGGATAATTCAAACAAAAGCAATAAAAATACATACCTAGAGAAGAAAGAGAAATAGATCCAAGGCAAACAGCTTTCAGTGCTACAGAAAATAGACAAGATCTCTCTTTCTCAGTCTATATGCGTATTGACCAATCGCAAGCTGTCTTTTTCACCGGAAGTTTCGACGGATTGAGGCGATGACTTTGAACATTGTTTGTTCTACTTAATTATTGATTATCCACTTCGAACAACATGCCACGTATACCACATGAATAAGTGACATTTTATAATTTTTAAACATAATTCATATCTATAGACTCAATTATTGAGAAAATTGATTGCTCGTTAGGTGCAACAGTGAGTTTGAATTGCTCATGAGCTAGATCATGAGTGGTTCAGCCCATGGATCGAGCTAAGCCAACTGATTTGTGGATTTTATGAGTTGATATGTGGATTGCTTGATTTGCTTACAAGTTGGTTCGTGGGTCAACTCACACAAGACACAAATTTATACTGGATAAAGGGTGTTGCTCTTGTCAGAATTGATTTGGCAAAATGGCGTGTTTTAAGAAATCCATTGCATCTATTTTGAGGTACAACTTCTATGACTATAAAAGTAACGACATATTTGGTATGTTGAATTAAACTCTTATTTGGTACTGATTAAAATTAAAATTTTAATTTAAGTCAAAGTCAATAATTAATTTTAGTCACATATTTTATGGATTCCACTTTTCTACATTGTGGATTTTCTATTCTTATTTCCATGATAGTGTGATTTTAAGCGAGACAAAATTTTTGTATTGCCCTATTAATATCATATTCTTTGTGATTCATAGACATAAAAATTGTTCAAATTATCTTAATTGTATTCAATTTTTAGTTCAGAGATGGTATCATAACCTCTCATTAAACATTAGGCTTTTATAGCTCTCTGTTTTAATTATATGGAACTCAAGTATAGAGTAGCAATGAACACAAGCGAAAGCTCAGACTTTTTCTCTCTTTTCTTTACGAAAGACATGACTAAATACGAAGGATTATGCTTTTGTACTATGGTATTATAAAATACAAGATGAACAGAAGAAAATCATCACAAGAAATACGTAAAAGATGAACTGTGTGGATGTGTTAAAGATAAACAGGGACGAACTCTTCTTTATATATTAAATGAGGGGGTTATCAGAGTAAAACATACACTCAGATTTCATTAATAATGTGGGCTTGTAACCTTATGAATGTACTTTGAATCTTTGTGCGTCTGCGAAAGGCATGTACCCCAATTTCCATGTAGTGATCTATCAATCCTAATAAAATTTTATTTATTGCGACCGGCCTTCTGTACATACAGGACAACCCGCCTATCACAGGGGGCTGCTGCTGTCCCCTTGTAACTTACACTTATAGAATTTTTCGGAATAAAATAGTACAAGGCACATCAAAGAAATTTCTTCATTGATATTTTAAAGTTTATAGTCATTTTCTAAGTGGAAAAATAAGCAAAATGTTAGAGAAGGAAAGGAGGAGGAAGCAGGTACCTTAAAGAGCTTTGACTACTCTGAGTGATTTAGTTTACTTTTAATCCGTTTCATCATTCTATAAATTTGACTCAGTCCTCCTGCAAAAAATTAAGTAGCTGCTAGCAGAAGAGTGATTGTAGGAGAGGATACAATCAATTTGCTCCATATATTATTACTCAAGGCAAAACACGGTATGTCAAACTCACTTTTAAGTGCTTATTTGACATGATTTTTATTTTTGCTTTTACTTCCTGTAGAAGAGCCTCTGGAAGAAGCAAATATTTATTTGAAAACTAATTTTTTAAAGCATTACATATTCTAGAATTGCTTTTAAAGGAAGTCACGTTAGATCAGTTTCTTCCAAAAACTCTTATATTTAGAAAAAAAAATTAGTAAAATGGATCCAAAAGTTATTTTTGGGCCTCAAAATTTCCTTTTAACTTTTCAAAAGTCATGCCAAATGAGCTATAAATATATTTGGATAATATTCTGAAAATGATTTGTCTTGCTAGAAGAGTTTTAGAGGAAGCTGGTCTAAACTCTTTTAACAAGACAAGAGGTAAAAGCAAAAACAAAAAAAATTGTCAAACGGACTCATAGTCTGTCGATCTATTTCCATTCCATTATCATACTTGTTAGTTAGATCATAGCTTAAACTTTTTTACTTATAACGAAGGTGCATTTGATTACGAACATAAAATTTGTATGGAAAAAAAATAAATTCTAGACAATTCAATTGTTTACAACTTATTTGTACGAAAATTATTAATTAAATGTGTTTGATTGATATAATTTTCAACTTAAAAAATATTATGTTTGTCTATTTTTTTATTGGTGGATGGAGGAGAGAGATGATTGACGAGAGAGAAAGTGAATTATTTGGAAAATAAAAATCACTCTTCTGTAAAGAAAATGTTTTTCTTGTTTTTGAAAAATATATGATCACATGACCAAAAGTTAGAAAATATTTTTTATAAAAAAAGTTATCAATCAAACACCTCAAAAATTGGAATTTGGGTGGTTTCCATTGAGTTGACAATTAAAAAGATTTTTTTATAGTGATTTCTCCTACATCTAAGTTGGATTAACTTTGAGATAAACGTTCCTTTGACAATATTTCTTCAGCAATTTTTCATATATATATAAATGCACTAACATGGATATAGAAAATTATTATGAATGTTTTGAACATAGGCCTGTAGAAGAAGAATGACTTTGCACTGGCTTTTCTACATCAGCCTTTCACTTTTCATAATGATTCAAATGGCGGTAGCAGTACCCTTGGCTAAGCCGAATTGCACAGAAAAGTGTGGAAATGTCATCATTCCCTATCCCTTCGGAATTGGACAGAATTGTAGCGCCAATTCATCGTATACAGTCAGCTGCCGAAACCAAACAACACTTTGGTTAAGTAGCATAGATCTAGAAGTGATAGAAATTTCATTGGAGAACGGTACAATTACTCTGAACCAGCCTGTGTTACCCATTAATTGCAGTTATGATCAGAAAGAATTGTCTTTAGGAATATCACTGTTGGGAACTCCTTTTATTTTCTCAATGTTCTACAATAAGTTTGTGGTATTAGGATGCAAAAATGTTGTTAAGCTGCGGACTAACGAAACAACAACTGACGAGGCATGCGTGGCAATTTGTCGGGGTCCTAATTCGACAGACATCAGCTGCAACGGTGTTGACTGCTGCCAAGCATCTATCCCGCCACAACTCCAAGAAATGAATATAATTTACACAAGCACTGGATCTGGTGTCAGTAATAACAATAGCACTTGTGGATATACATTCCTGGCCGATCAGAAATGGATCCAAAATGATTACAAAAAGTATAGAGGCTTTGAAGTTAATTTCTTATATCCATTTGATGACACATTTGTATATGCACCAGTAGTACTTGACTGGAAATTCCCAATAATTTACGACGGAAGGGTTTCTTGCGAATATCCCTCTCATTATAACTCATATTATGGTGAATTCACTAATTATGAGGACCCCCTTCGATGCTTTTGTGAAACAGGCTTTGAAGGGAATCCATATCTAGATGAAGGGTGCCAAGATATTGACGAGTGCAGCAATTCAACCCTAAATTACTGCTTTTATGGGCAGTGTATCAATACGCAGGGGAGTTACACATGTGAAATTGCACGTACTGGCATTAGACCTCGTATAAAAATTGCATTTATTGCCATCGGCGCAGGGTTTTCCTCTCTAGTTTTACTGGTTGGCGCTTGGAGGTCATACAAAGTTATTAGAAAAAGAATTAAGGCGAACCGCAGGCAAAAGTTTTTCAAGCGTAACGGCGGCCTATTGTTGGAACAACAGTTGTCCTCGACTCAAAATGGTGTAGATAGAACTAAATTGTTCGGTTCAAAGGAGTTGGAACAAGCCACGGATCACTTCAATGTGAACCGTATACTTGGTCGTGGTGGCCAAGGTACAGTCTACAAAGGGATGCTTTCAGATGGAAGAATTGTGGCAGTGAAGAAGTCCCAGAAGGTGGACGAAGATGATCTGGAAATCTTTATTAATGAGGTTGTTATTCTATCCCAAATTAACCATAGAAATGTAGTCAAGCTATTGGGATGTTGTTTAGAGACTGAAGTTCCCCTGCTAGTCTATGAGTTTATTTCGAATGATACACTTTTCCAACATATCCACAACCCAACTGAGGAATTCCCATTGACATGGGAAATGCGCTTAAGAATTGCCACAGAAGTAGCATCAGCAGTTTCATATTTGCATTCTGCCGCATCTGTACCCATCTACCATCGAGACATCAAATCGACAAACATACTTTTGGATGATAAATACCGGGCAAAAGTTTCAGACTTTGGAACTTCAAGGTCAGTTTCTATCGATCAAACTCACTTGACTACAAAAGTTATAGGAACCTTTGGTTACTTGGACCCAGAGTACTTCCAGTCGAGCCAATTCACAGAAAAAAGTGATGTTTACAGCTTTGGGGTTGTCATGGTTGAGCTTTTAACTGGGAAGAAAGCAATATCATCTATTAGATCACAAGATCAAGGAAAGAGTTTAGCCACAAATTTCTTGCAATCATTGGAGGAAAATTGTTTGCCTGATATTCTCGATGCCGAGGTGCTCAAAGAAGGCGGGGCAGAAAAAATTATGGCTATTGCTCAACTTGCTAGAAGGTGTCTTTATTTGAATGGAAAGAGAAGGCCAACAATGAAGAAAGTAGCAGCAGATCTCGAAGCAATTCAAATGTCGAAACAAGTATCATCTGTTCAAGATAATCTCGGTGACACTGAGTACCACTCAATAATTGAGGTTTCTGACGTTTATGATTTTGCATCCATCTCAGGAAGCATCCATTTTGACAATGTCACGACTTCCTCACCATCTGATGTTGATCCGCTACTGTCGGCTACTTCATAAAGAATTTTATGCCTATGTCTTTCTGCTACATTTTCCATCATATCTGTACTGAATGATCAGATCTTCATTAATAAGTAAATTGTTCCTTGTATGCATTCTGGTGTTGTAAAGCGTCAATTTTTCAAATCCTACTTTTATTATGAAAAAAATGGAAATATTCCAATTTCTGTGAAAATTATTTTGCTCAAATATTGTTTGCATTATCTCAAATTTGAGTGGTATTATCTCATCCAAGATGCAATCTGGACTTTGCGGAGAACAGTTTCTAATTTGTAATTGCACCAGTTCTAAAGCTGCAGAGTAATACTTCTTCCTTTTATTCTTGGTATTAAACTAGAGATCAAGTTCTCAATTTTAACACCTAGAACTAATTAGAACTTGAGTAAAAGCAGGTCGAACTAGTCGATTTTGATAACTTTCACTCACCCAAAAAAATGTTAACACTTACTATGATCACTGAAAAATATGCTATTGAAATATTTTGACAAAAAAAATATGTAATGTCTGGAATTTCGAACCTTTTGATTGTTCGCGACAAAATTATGTTTGCGATGCCATGATAATATTGTCTATTTAGTAACCTATTGAACTAATTTGAGGCTTTAAAAGATATTCCATGTGAATAAGTTATAAACTCATCAGTGGATTAGGACTAAGAACAGTTCAAAACTTAAATCATTTTGATATATTATATGCAGTTATCTGACTTTATGTCCTGTTTTTGTTGACAAAATAATGGTACATAATAATTGGATCAAGATCTCATCAATCAAATAACTTCCACACTTATATTTTGACACATTATCAGTTGTGTATAAAAAGCATTTTCCTTGAATCTTTTACTCAGTTGAAAATTAGGGCACATATGTGCTACATACTTAAAGGTTGGAATCGATGAAGTAAAAAGGAAACTTCTTCAAGTTTATCAGAAAATTTGGAAACATATAGGCTATATATAAAATTGTTGGTGATTATTCTTCCTAGAACAAAAGCCGCTTCGGTTGAGGGAAATAATATCTAGAAAAACAATTTTCATGTGGTTGGCCATAGTTTTTGTTAACGATTTAATAACATTGTAAATGTTGCTAAGCTGGGGAACATAATTATTATCGTTGTGTGGAGCCAATTTGTGGATCAACCTCCCTGATGAGGTCGTCGCAGAGATTGGAAGGACAGGAAACCCCTATCCCAAGAGGCCAAAATTTTATTTAAGATGGTTTAGAAATTTCACATGTAATTTGGATTTTGTCTTAATTTGTTTTACGGGTAACTATATTCGCACCACAATTTTTATTTCTTACACCACGTTTTAATTGCATTTAATCTTTGCTCATTATAACACTTATATCCCTAATATTTTTTCATATCATTCTTGAAAATACGGATTACCAAATTAACGACTACTAAGTTATCGAATGGTTATTAATTATCCACTTTTAATTTTTGACCCAACGTGTAGAATTATTCTATTAAAAACAACAAGTCACTTTTTAACAGTTTCTAGAAGATTAAGCGTACAATTCAATTATCATATGCTTGAATACCACAATTTGTAATATGAAAAGTTATAAAGAATGAACACTAATATTATGACGGAGAAACCCAATTGGGTAAAAATTCAGGGACCAAGCTGTTACCTTCACTATAGACAATATGGATTACAGTCTGTTTCCAGCCTAGTAAATTCCACTAGTTCTCGCTGTTGTAATTTCTGTAATCTCCAAGATCTGCTGTTCCTCCAGACTCACGATCTGCTACAGCAGATACTATCTGTCCAACCTGTTAGATCTCCCGATCTACCTCCTGTAACTTCCAAGATCCGTTGTAAATTTCAAACTCCCGATCTTCTCCAATTGTCTCTTCCAAGTGAATATTCAAGAATCACCTATTCATGTTCTTCTTCCTGCGCTTGTAGTCCAACATCTCTCAATCTCCGAAACTTCTAAAGTCCAACTGAGAAAGTACATTCCTCAAAGTGTTAAGGAAGTCGGGTGTTTCGAATTCACGAACTTTGATGTTTTCTGAATGCTTGGTCGCCGGATCTCAAGAATGATATGGGGGAATCACCAAATAATTATACTCTTGGATCTCTCAAAATATGATGTGGATGTGTTATATAATGAAAGCACAATCGATGAACCACTTGGAATTCGTCCTAGACATCTGTATTTATAGTTGGGGACGCTTAGATGTTATGGGCCGTGTAAAACTCTTCAAAATCACGATTAGGGCTGGTCGCATAAATACATTGCTCGAGCGAGGGAGACTGTCGCTTGAATGACAACGAGGCAATAGGCAGGGTCAGGTGAGGAGCTAGCGAAATTCTAACGCCGCGTTTTCCTTGTTTTCAATCTCTAACCCTAACTTAACTCATCTATACAAAATTCCATCCAAGTCCTTGACTTTTTACACGTGTTCAATTAAGACTTTTTTGTTCACAAACATGCCAATTACAACATTGGACCTAACAATTCCTATCCTCAAACTTTTCATCAGACAACACATTTAGTATTTGATAATCATTTTATATCCAAAAATCCATGAAATGATGTAAAACAACTTATTTTTCATAATATTTTAAAAAAAAAAGTAAAAAGTGCGAAAAAAATATTTTCCCTCGTGAAAACAAAATATTTTAATATAAATCATCATCAAGGATGAGACATAATAATTAATGGAAGGTTGAAGATAAGAAATCGACTAAAAAAATTAAGAAAATAATTGTTATAATGATCAAAGATT